GTTGATCAGAGTGAGCTAGGGAAGTGGTATTTGCCCCATCATCCCGTCTTTAATCCGAGGAAGCCAGGTAAACTCCGTGTGGTGTTTGATTGTTCCGCGAAACATGAAGGAGTCTCTTTAAATGATAATCTGTATAGTGGCCCAGATTGCGTGAGCTCATTAGTGGGACTGCTATTAAAATTCAGAAAGTTTACAGTTGCTGTCAAGGCGGATATTGAGGAAATGTTCCTACAGGCGAAGGTGCCAGAGGGTGACAGAGATCACTTGAGGTTTTTGTGGTTTGATGACGGTCCTTGTGGTAAGGTGTCAGAATATAGGATGACAGTGCATCCATTTGGTGCCAGGTCCTCCCCGTTTTGTGCTAATTTTGCTCTACGAATTGCTTCTACGTGGATGATTGTTTAGCCTCCTTCGATGATGATAAGTCTGCAGTTAGATTTGCAACAAGCATTACTGAAGTGTTAGCTAAGGCCGGCTTTCGTCTAACTAAGTGGGTCTCGAACAGCCTAGACGTTTTGAAGCATATAGATCCAGAAGACAGAGCACCTACCGTACGAGATTTGCCTGTTGATACTCTACCAGTTGAACGCACATTAGGTATGCGATGGGATGTGAACTCTGATACCTTTGGATTTAGTGTTGGTGATATTGATAAGCCAGTTACTCGGAGAGGTGTGCTCTCTGTGTTGTCGTCCGTGTTTGACCCACTTGGATTAGTAGCACCTTATCTACTTCCGGCTAGGAGGTTATTTCAAGAGACATGCAGGAAAGGGTTACAGTGGGATGAACCATTAAGTGAGAGGCAGAGAGAAGAGTGGAAGGGGTGGGTTAACAGTTTAAGAATGCTGAATCTACATTCCGTCTCACGTCCACTTAAGCCGTCGAGAAATCATGATATAATTGACTTCCATGTTTTTTCTGATGCCTCTGAGGTTGGATTTGGTGCAGCCGTATACATCAGAACCACCTTAAGGAATGATATAGATGTTAGCCTGGTGATGGGTAAATCTAGAGTTGCACCTCTAAAGACGGTTTCGATTCCGAGATTAGAACTTAATGCAGCCTTACTAGCTGCGCAGTTATTCACAACGGTGTGTAAAGAGTTGGATTACCCCAAGCATCCCGTAACGTTTTGGACTGATTCGATGTCTGTGATATATTATATACGCAACGAGTCAGCAAGATATGCATGTTTTGTAGCTAACAGAGTATCTCAAATTCGTGAACTAACAACTGTTGAGCAGTGGAGGTACGTACCGTCTGGAAAAAATCCAGCTGATCTAGCCTCGCGAGGAGTTATTGATATGAATGTGGTTAAAAATAAGTGGTGGAAAGGTCCAGAGTTCTTGCTAAGGGCTGATAGTATGTGGCCTCGTAGAGAAGATGAACCACCGATAAACGAGTGTGCCTTGGAGTTGAAGACAAGTGTCAGTTTAACATCTACTCAAGAAAGACATTCAGGTTTACATCCACTTTTTAAATATTATTCTTCTTGGTACAAACTACTGAAAGCTGTTGCGTGGTTGACACGATATGTTACGTATTTAAAGGTCATGCATCTTGCGGGATACGAAAATATGAATGTGGGGCCTTTGAGAGTCGAAGATATTAGAAATGCAGAGTTAGCGATTTTGAGGGCTGCTCAGTGGGAAGCGTGGGGTGAGATTGCCAAGGAGGATAGTCCCGATTTCGCAGATTTCAAGGTGCGGTTAGATAGATTATCTCCGATAGTTTCCGAAGGGATCGCTAGAGTTGGTGGACGTCTACAAATGTTAGAATCGTCATATGAGACCCGTCATCCGGCTTTATTACCTTGCTACCATCCAGTCACTGATCTCATTATAAGACACTACCATGTTCTTGAAGGTCATTTGGGTACTTCGCAAGTACTATCAAGTATTCGATGTAAGTTCTGGATAGTGAAGGGAGGTACTGCTGTCCGTAAAATAATTGATAAGTGCATGGAATGTAAACTCCGAAATGCTCGTCCAGTACAGCAGATGATGGCACCACTCCCAGCGTGGCAAGCTTCTGAAGGGAATTATCCATTTGAGTACGTTGGGGTGGATTTGTTCGGACCTTTTGTAGTGAAGAGAGGCAGAACCCTATGTAAAAGATATGGCTGTTTATTCACCTGTTTGAAAATGAGAGCTGTGCATATTGAGATGGTTCATACGCTAACTACTGATTCATTCGTGCTAGCATTACATAGATTTATAAATCGCCGGGGTGTACCGAAGATGATGTTCAGCGACAGAGGGACTAATTTTGTTGGCTGTCACGCCGAGCTTAAAGAATACTTCGAAGGTCCCCAAACGACAGTTCAGGAAGAGTTACTGAAAAGGAACATCGAGTGGCACTTCAACCCACCACATGCCAGCCATAGAGGCGGGCTATGGGAAAGACTTATAGGAATTATCAAGCGTATTTTAAGCTCCATAATTAAAAACCAGAGTTTGAATGACGAAACGCTGGAGACATTTTTTTGTGAAGCTGAACGAATATTAAATGACCGGCCGTTATCACCTGTGAGGGACGACGTCAAGGATTTTGATGTGTTAACCCCAAATAAATTATTGTTATTGAGAGGCAACCCTGGCATAGAGGACTCAAGCGGGGAAGGAATACCTACGATTAAAAGATGGAAACAAGCCAGGCACATGAAAGATATATTTTGGAAAAGATGGTTAAAGGAGTATGTTCTAACACTGCAAACCAGGGACAAGTGGAAAAAGTTGTGCCGAAACTTAAAGGTTGGTGACATAGTATTAGTAGCAGATAAATGTGCCACAGGTAGGTGGCCTTTGGGAGTGGTAGTAAGGCTAATCTGTAGTGGTGATGGATTGGTGAGGACGGTTGAGGTGAGAACAAGTTGTGGCATGTTGGTGCGAGATATTAGAAAACTGTGTCTACTGGAAGGTGCTGAGAGTAGAGAGTCGGAGGATGAAACACTAGACGATTTTCCAACCTAGAGCGTCAACCTGAGAAGGGTTGTAGGCGTACTGGTGTAAGTCCTGCGATTCTTCAAAGGAATTTCATCAAGACATGATCCGCTAGTTTGTGTGTACTGTTTGTATATATGTGTGGTGTGTCATATCAATTGGTGTTTTTGGATCCATTGTGTTTACTTGTTGTTTTCGTGTCTTGTTGTTATTGCGTAATTTTGTTAAAATTTTCGTCGTGATTACTTCTGAAGTTGTTTCGAGTCTTCTACATCCATGAATGAATTGATTGATGTTAAGGACAGCAGATGGGTCGTATACGCCGGGGAGGCTATTGCTGAGAATGAAATCCTGCGGTCCGACACGCCGGGGAGAAAGAGTGTAAACGACTGAGGCTCGCATACGTCACCGTTACTAGAACTGAGGCAGAATGAGTGACAAGCGATTTCAGTGGTAATTGGTAATGAGTAGATAAGAGGATGTGCGTAGAGTATTGTGAGGTGGTGCTATGGTCACGTTGCATTCAGCAAGAGTCATTCTAGCAAGTGGCGATTGTGTTGCAAGATGTCAAGAGGAGGTCTCTGTCTGGAGGCGCAGGTCGTCAGCGATGTGTGAGATTGTGCTGTGGGTATGCTTGTGGTGTGTTGGCTTTTCTGTTTGTTTTCCATTTCAGCTCTGTCCGTGTGACCCAGGTTCTCGCAATGGCATCCAAGTCAACGTGTATTGGTCGTGATGGAAAAAAGGGACGGATCCCATTTTTGCCGGGGAGTGTCAATGTAGTTGAAGATTGAACGATCAGTTCACGGTTGTTTGCTCAAAACCAACTTCCCCAATTTTCGCGGAGGCATCAATACGACAGTCATCGTCTCATCGGTCGCTGTTCAGAAAGAAGTCAGGACAAAACCGTCAGAAGTAATATTGTGATTTATTATTGTAATATTTGTTCACAGACCTTAGTTGTAACATTTTTTATATGTTGGTGTTACAATAAAGAATCCTCGAGTCACCAATTGGTGTTTTGGATTTTTCGTCCGTTATTACTAAGCGTTTCTGAGAAACTTCAAGGAACAGCGTGAGCCCGAGCGTAGCAAGAGCTGGGCATTAACGGTTTACGAGACGTTTCTGACAGCGCGATCTAGGTCTTATTCTAACACAAAAGCTTTACACCAGTGGAAAATACGCGAGGGACGTCGCCAACGCCTACTCAACTTTACACTTTATGTATAGGCAGCTGGGAGCTTTTACTCCCGAACTGTTCTTAAGGTTATGTAAGACATATGTGAGGCCACACCTTGAGGAGCATAATATCATTGCACCACCGCTACTCAAAAGGGATGCTAACATTCTAGAAAGTGTCCAGAGACGAGCGGCAAAATGGGTGATCGGCCTCCGCAACAAACTATATGAGGAACAACTAAAGAAATTAGGTCTTTTCACACTTAGTTACCGTAGGCACAAGGGAGACCTCATCACCGTCTACCAGATCTTAAATGACCAGGACCACCCAAAGAAAATCATCCTGCCCTTAAGTGACTATAGGCTTCCACGAAGTAACCCGCTTAGGATAGAGCACCAGAGACCAGAGACTCGAGTGCGATCACATTTCTTTTCGCTTCGTGTTTGCCGTCGTCTGGAACACTTTACCGGCGGCCGTGACTACAGTGCCATCTGTAGAGATTTTTAAGCGGAAGCTAGACAATCATGCAGAAATGCAAGGTTTGTGTCTCAACGGCTTATCCTCATAAAACTTAAAACCACACTGTCAATGGATAAGCGTACAAACTAAATCCAAACGACCTGTTCTGCCTTCTCTCACTCTATCTTTTCCTTAGGTCACCTTTATTATTCCACTTATCTCAACCCATTTTATCTATACTACAACCTATTACTATTATTACTATTCTGCTTTTATGACTACACCAAATGTCCAGCGGGAGTTAGGTCAAACTCCATTCACGGCAGCAATACAGTCCTAACATACTGCATACTACAAACCACATCTTGACCAATCCCCGCACCACTCCTCTTGGAGTCTACCAGAGCTAAAGCAGTCTACAGGCGGGACTTACTACGCAGAAGCTCACCGAAGATCTGTAACCTCTACCTCACAATCAAGAAGCGAGCTCAAAGAAATCACCGGTTTATACTAGCTCGTAATCAGGATATTGGATATTGGACGTGCGAAGTATTGACCGCCATCTATTAATCAATGCGTTACACAGGAACGAAAATACGTTAAGACTTGCAAAATTTATCTTGTGTAAGTTGTGTCCCTCTTTTGTAAGTTCATATTGTGTGTCACCATTTAGAGAAAAAGGGTAAAGGCTGTGTGTGTTTTTCTCCTGTGAAGAGTGTGAAAATAATGCTGCAGTAGTAGCTTCAAGCTTGTTCTGAGCACACTAGTTTACTGAACGATTGCTTTTTCCCCGCATCACCTTCACAAAACGAATACATGGTTTTGAGGGAGGAAGTGTGTTACATATCAAAGGAAAGGTTACAATTGGTTCCCGCACCATTTCACCAGTAATAGCTTTGTTTTGATTATTACATCTGCATATATGCAGAAGTGGTTATAACCACCTCTCGACTTATCACTAGCAACACCCGTTTATCTTTACGCGCTCCAGTATTCAGTGTGAACTAGTTCTTGCACACTTGTCTACCTACTTGAACCTTCCCTACTTAAATTAAGCAAAACGTTTCCAAACTTAAATACAATACCACTGGATGAGTAGATGTACAATCGTGTTTTAACACGAACCATACCGTCATCCTAGCATAGCCACCAAACAGGTCTTCAACATTAACCGTCAGTGTTTCAGAAATTACCAGTTTTAACAAATAAGAAACGACATTAAGCTCATTCAATTTAGTATGCTCAATAGAGCGATTCCTGTGAAATGAGCTGGCAAACGTTGATTTCCAATAAAAAAAAAGCTTTAACAGCACGTTGTAACTCCTCCTCTGTTAAATTGCATCATGATTTTGGTTTTATATTTAACGCATTTTCCTAAGCTGAAAAGTTTGTGGCATATATTGATTAGCGATAATCACATTTCAATAGTTGTTTACATACAGTCATAAGTCGGTAACATTCAGGACAAAATTGTTGCCTGCATTCACGGCAACTGTCGGAATTATTTTTAGAATTCACATAATTACGTGTATATTTCATTTGTGTTTGCTCATTTTTGTGTCTCCAGGATCATATTTCATGCTGAGTCACCTTTTTGCCAGTATCCGGATGACATTAATAACGTGGAAAAACAATTCCTGTAGTTGGTGTGATTACAAGCAGCAACTCTCCTTGAAAGATCAGTGAAGTTAAAAGTTTACCATTATGCATAAACAACCACTAAAATACCTACCACTATTGGGGTGAAGTATATATTTCCCAAAACTGTATACACTATATGAATTGTGGGATTTTTATATGTCGTCTACTAAATTGTTTTCAAGTATTGGTTTTGTGGGGATTTTGTTTGATAGCATGGAGGATTTAATCATGAGCTGACATCAGTTAGAGAACCACTGGAAAACCTGGGAGTACTGGACAGCTGTTTCGTCCATTTGGGACTAGGATTTAATCATGAGCTGACATCAGTTAGAGAACCACTGGAAAACCTGGATACTGGACAGCTGTTTCGTCCTAGTTTGGGACTAAATTGTTATCGAAACAACATAAATTTGTCCGAATATCGTATTTTTATAAAGTTCTTCATAACTGGAATACTTTATTTTATTTTTTTGATTTTCAGGTAAGTCTTTATAGTGGTTCCTGCTCACTGCTCAAAGCATTGACCCATATCTACGCAGAATTAGTAATTCCCGTTAAATGCTATGTCTCATGATCTTTTAAAATCTGCTACTCACCCACAAAGAGTTCGCTTCTTGTATAAATTTATACTCAATTTACATCGTTCACTGCCGCCTACTTTAAAAGATATTGGTGATAAGTATGTGAAAGCAGAGTTTCAGAAACACAAGAATGCTAAACCTGAGTATATTCAACCATTTATGATTGAGTGGACAGTAAGTATGTTTAAAAATATTATTGCTTAATTGTGTATGGTCTATTTTCTCTCTTGATTTTGTCTTTTTCATCATCCCTGTGATTTTGTGACCTGTTATGTATTTATTCTGCTTCTTTGCGTTCTGAGTGGAGCACAAGACCTCAAACCTGAGCTTTATAGATTCCACAACTGTGGTACTATCCTTTTTATGGAGTAGGGCTACTAACCTTGTATCCTCAACCTCTCCTCTTTACCAGATATACCACTGGCTAAGCAAGGTAGTCGTGTTCACTGCCTTCACGTGACTGGGATGTTCGTCACAAAAGTGGATGGGCTAATGTGAACCTCCTGTGCTTACAACCTTACTGGATCTGGCCGCCTACCTGGAGGGGAAAGGCTGGAAAACCCTGATCCTAAGGATTAGGAACGGTCGAATGGCCTATCGATCTAGTTTTGGTCATATGCTATACTGCTTTATGAATCGGACTTCAAATGAAATGGTGCAGGAGGTGACCCCTAAAGACAACCAGTTGCTGGGGTTTGAGTGTTCGGCCAGTATCCCAGTCCTCTCACAGACGAGATTTTTTATGGCTCACCTCTTGGTGCCCATAATGTACCGATTTTGTCTTAATAAGCGAAGTTTAAGAGTCCGTCGGCCGTAAATCAAACCAGGACCAGGTCCGTAGTTGTTCATCTGTCACTGATGCCCTTAGTGCAGTCTCTAGCAGACTACAATAAACTAGTATTTTTTTTCTGTACATTTCCATGTGATTTGTGAAATATAAACATAAACCTTACACGGCTTACCTCATATATAATGAGGCTTTTCAATATTCACCAAAATACTGTTTCCCCCCACAATTTTCCCGTCTCATGGCAACATGTATATCTCTTCTTCTCCGAAAGGATGGTTGTACATGTTGGCCTCTATGTAGCTGTTCACTAGCTGTGTAGCAAACCTTTTACATTCCTTTACGCTCCGAGTGGAACATAAGACTTTTAGCTCTGCAGTTTTAGTAACAGTTGTGTTGTTCCTTTTACTGAGTGGAGTTACTAGCCGCACGCTCAATCTTCCATCTTTGTCGAGCTTACTACCGGTTAGGCGAGGTGAAGAGGAGGGCGTCAGCCGGAGATCGAACCCCGACGAGGCGCATGTTTGACGAGCACTATACCCATAAATCTGACTAACTGACTGACTGGTTTCGACAAAGAACTTTGGACAAAAAGTGCACCAATTCTAGTTATCGTACTCTGTATAGCATACAAAGAAAGACAATAGGGTGAAAAAGATTCAAAAGAACGATTATAATAGCAGATATTTGAGGGAGAGGAAATAGTAACATGGAAAAGTAATAGGGCCTAATAGACAAGGGAGATCACAAAGAGTGAATGCATATCTGTCTCAGCTATTGAGATCAATTTTGAGCCACATCACCGATTGTCTCCAATTGCCATTGGTCCTCACCATCTCGAGAACCCCGACAAGGAAGTCTGCACCTCCCTATGTGACTCAAACTATTTGTCAAAGATTTCATGGACTAATTCGATGTTTTTTGGGTTGACCATCATTAGCTTTTTCTAAACTTGACCCAGCATATGTCAGCTAACATTGTCCGTTGAGGAGGGTGATAGCTAGGCATGCGCAACACTTGTCCTAGGCATCTCATTTGATGTAGCTTCACAACTTCATCGTTTGACTTACCTTCTTCATCTAATAGTCTACGCCTAACCTCAATATTATTTGCTTTGTTATAGTGAAACGGAAGAAGATGAAGACTTGGTAAGGGAATGCTTATTTGGATTTTGGGATCTCTACATAGTCAAATTTTGTACACCTTGTCTTAGATATGATGGAGAAGATTTGTACCTCAGGGAGATGATATTGATGTAGTTGTATTCTCTGAGTTGGATAGTTAATTTGCGAAGCTTTCATTGCCCTACTAGACAATATCTTCAGCGCATACTTCAATTCGTTGAAGTCAGTTTTAGATATCTCCACGAGTTTATTAGTCATCTCTCATTGTCATTTTTGTTTTCGTGTTTTCACACCCTATAGGCAACTTGTATTGGTGCTGATTGTTTCCTTGACTTGAACTTTGACCCTTTGTGTGTGAGATATCCTTATCGATCGGTAAATTTTATCTATCTCGATGTGCTTATTGACTGACGATTCACTAGAATGCCAAGCTTCCAAAAAATTCTCTAGCATTTTTGGTGTTTCGTGTGCCTAATATTTGGACGTTGGCTGTCCCAATCGAATTAATTTCCTTGGTTTTCTGTATGTAGTAAGGAGATATGAGGGAGTGATTTCATGTCTTTTGAGGGCTAACTTATGTTCATGGATACGAAGACGAAGGGGACGTCTACTTTGGTCAATGTAGTGTTTTTCGCAGTTGTTACAATTTATTTTGTAGATGATGTTGGTTTTATCTTCTTTCGTTGTTGAATCTAATGTTTGACATAGAACTGAGTGGAGTGATTTTGTTGGCTTGTGTGCGACGTCGATTCCTAAAGGCTTGAAGAGTCTTGCAGTGATTTCTCGGATGTTGTGTTTTATATATGGTAGGGCTGTTTTCTTTGTGCTTTCCTTGGGGGCCTTTGGGTGGGTAGGCCTTGGCTTGGGGGTATATGTCTTTTGATGATATCCCGTGGATATCCATTCTTTTGGAAGACGTCCATGAGATATCTTTCTTCAATTCTTCTTATGGTGGGAGTGCTGCAATGAGTCCTGGCTGGCTGGCCCTCTTAAATAGTGTTTGTATACAATTCCTTTTGTGTGTTATTGGATTGTTGCTGTTGTAATTTAGTATTTGGTCTGTGTGAGTTGATTTTCTATAAACTTGAGTTTCGCTTGACTAAGACGTCCAAAAATGGGATTTTGTTCTCGGATTCCTCGTCTCTTGTGAATTCGATGTCATTGAAAATGTTGTTTATTAAGTTGTGATTTTTATTCAACTCGTTTCTTTCACGTCTCCAATGCATCTGCACAATACTGTATCATTTACCTTCTCTGATATCAAATTTATCTCCCTGCTATTTGATGTTTTATATGCTGATGAACTTCTCTTTATATGTATATACTACTGATAAATATTATCAGTAGTACTCTCCACACTACACAACTAACTTTTCCATATCTTCTAATGACCATGCGCAGCCCTGATCCACTAGTATCTTAATTTTTTCTTATTCTGTAGGATATGAAAGTCTTTGGTTGTATGTTGTCTAAACTCAAAAGTTTATAGTACTTTTTAAATCGTAAACCAACATGTTTTTCTTCAAAACATTCAGTCCTTGAATTGTTATTATTATTATTATTAATAATAATACTATTAACTATTTTTCTTCTTTGTAGAAGTACGCAGTTGAATTATCAATGCAAATCAGAGCCAAACAACAAGAAGGGAGCGGTAAAAGTGTAGACGAGTCGAAAATTGGCAAACCATTAGATGTTAAACTGTTGAATTACTTTTCAGAAGCACAACTCAGTCAATTACTGACGCTTGCTAAAGAGATTTATGAAGAAAATCAAGAGCCAGTGAGTAAAGTGAACTAACTGACTGTTCATCTTTCTCATTTTCTTTACCTTGGTGAGAATTTGTCATTCTCTATGATTGAACTCTATGATCTCAGGACACTATTGTGTTAAATTGTTTGAATGTGCTTCGTGTTTTCTTCTTCTTCTTCTGATTCTTGTCATTTCTTGTCCTTTGTACAGATACTTTTTTCAGTAGAATATCAGCTATAAAATACCGCTTGTAGATATAATAAAATAGTAGTATATTTGCTACTTCAGACTTATTAATTAACTGTTGATTTGCAGGGATATGATTAGTTACAGGGTTGGTCACGAGTTGAGATGCTAGTTAGGCAACCATTGGAAAACTATGGGGGGGGAGGGGAGTACTGAATGGCTGCTGCGACCTAGTTTGCAACTCTCGAACCTAGGACCTTCCGGTTATGGGGCGGGTTCACAGACTGTTCAGCCAGTGGGGTCTTATCCAGTAGCTCACAGATTCTTACTACCAATTCGCCAGCCAATGTCATCAGCGCCCAATTGTCCTTTCATCCGATTTGATGGATGCCAGTGGTCACAATTTCTAACTTGCACTCCAGATAACTTCCTGTATTATGACCGACCAGTCACTAGTGAGCATCAGATTAATTTTCAAGTGTTGGTTTACTTGGATTTGATTGAGTCCCAGTTACTGAATGGTCAATGGCATCAGTCAATAAAATCCACAAGAGTTAGTTTAAGCCGTCCAGCCACGTAGGAAGGTGGCGACTTCCTGGTTGGGGTCCTCGGGACGGCTAGAGACAACCAGTGATATGGCTCAAAATCTTCGTTCTCAATGGCTAGTGCAGATGTATCCACTCCTTGTGACTTATAATGCCCAATGAAACTATATTGTCCTTCGATATTAATATTCTTTTTACCTCATATCTTTGTTTACTGTCTCTATTTTGCATTTCTTTTTTAACTTTCTTCTCTTGCTTTGTGTGCAACATGGAGAGAGTGTGGCAACTCGAACTGCTGCACATCGGTGCAAAGTTCTAAGTTGAAACCAGTCAGTCGGTATTGAATGGTCTGTGGGTTCACTTGGTAACAGGAACGGTATGTGTTCGAACCTCTATGGGCGTATAATACGGAAAAGTCCCAAACTAGAAAAAAAAAACAGCTATCCCAGTATCTCCTTCGTGGTTTTCCAGTGATTCTCCAACTTTTTAATTTCACATCTACTGGTATTTCGGTGTGTTACGCAATCCTTAGAAGGTGATCATTAGATTTAACAAGGTTGTTGCATATCCTTTATCTGTGTCTGCTCGAAATGTAGATAAATGTGAGTACTGACAACTTAATGTTCGAGGAAGTGACCCGCTAAAAGGTTTAACCCTAGGTGGGTCTGAAGTACACAGACGACCTAGTCTTCATAGGTGGAAGTATCAGCAAAATTCGAAGTCTCCTGAACACCCTTAACAAAACTTTAACTATGTTTAGCATGCGATTTACTTTTGTCATAGGTAAGTTCATATTACACATTTGTCTTGTACAGACTCCTGTTTTAAGAATGTATCGCATTTGCTCTAATTAACCGATGCTAACAATTTTTCAGGGCTTACTCAGAGGGATAATTTAGTGTTTGCTAGATTTGATTCGTCTTCATTGATGTACTCATGTTGTTTTGTGAATGCAAATTATAGTCGCTTCCAACCATAAGTGCTTGCAAATCTAATTGTTTTGTATTAGATGGTGGCGCAATATCATGAGTAATAATGGTCTCAGACGTTGTGTGTGTTGCGTGCTGAAGAGTTCCAAATCAGGAGGAAACAATCGTCCATTGTACTCCGTGGTTTCTAAGTGGTTCTCCAACCGATGTCTGATAGAGGTGAAATCTGTTAACAAATGTTTTATAATAAATTGAAATTTGTCTGTACGTTCTCAGAGTTAAAGCTGTTAAGTTTCATGATAAACATATTACCATCTAATAGAAAAGATTTGTAAGTGTTTGTTGTAAGTGAAAAGATTTATGAAGTGTTTATCTCATTGTATTACACTTGACTCTGCGAGGATTTTATCGTGAAAGTGTATCTTATTTTCATTAGTTTTGCATTGAATTCAAAAGGTCAAACTGAAGCGCTTGCTTGATATTTCGTGAAACAGACATATAATCGAACAATATTGCTGTTCTCAGTTACATCTTTGGGCTTTACTCTAATATACATAACTTTATACATAAAAAATTTTACCCAATGACGGCGAGTTTGTGGGCAAAGTTAAACTTTAACCAGCACTAACTACCAATCGGCGGACGACCTTCAACGTACCAATCACACGAAAGGGGGTTTTCTGGTTATGGAAAACGTATACTTATGGAAAAAAGCATAAAATCTGCATAACACTGTTACATAGGGTTTCTTTCTCTAAAATATGATAGAAACATCTCCCAGTTTAGCATAGGAGTATCAAATGAAACGTTACACCACATTCTGTACATATATTCATCCAAATGACTATAAATGACATCCTTTTGAAATCCATTTATAGCCCTAATCCTATTTTCTAATCATCCCCGAATTCCTTTTATAGAATTGGTGTGTCTTCTTGTAATGGCATCCACAAAATCACACTGTGATGCATAAATCGAAGAGATGATAGCGATTTATAAACTTTCGATTCATCTGTATGTACTACAAGTCACTATTTCATCAATCGACTGACAGTAGGCACCAAGGGGGTAGACTCTCTGTCTTCTATTCTTTCCACGATGCTTTCTGTAGGGAGATGTCATATAAACCGATCACTCAAAATTGTTGGCTCGCTCACGACCACGGTTGTATTTTTTTCCTCGATAAGACAGTTTCGTCCACATGTACACGACACCTTCTCCGCCTAACAACGAAGTAATTCTCTCCATATTCCACGAGGCAATGTCTCTGCAGTGCTGGTTCCACTGAACTGTTGACACAAGGCTATTTTCAGTTTCAGCAGCCACGCCTCTCACAGACTGTTTTAAAGCCAATAATTAAAAATCTACAAAATCTGTGTTAGGGAGGGATGCGACCTAGTAAAAAAATTTTCGTGTGAAATACCAGAATCATTAGTTCACCTTCTTTAACACTCACCGTCGTCTCAAGCAAGTTGCATAACGATGGTCATATTCATCAATCGACCTGTTGAAGCTTTTTAAACTCATGCACCTCCAGACGAACAAATGCTTTCCTTCCTAAGCAACCCAAGTCCAGACAATACTGAAAAACCTTATTCTCATCGAACTGCAAGGTAACTTCGTTAGAGCAGGCATTGACACGAATCAAGAGAAATACAACCTTCAACTCACGTGGATGAACCTCATTGGACCATTCAAGGTCATTCACTGATTGGTAATTAGTGGTGCTTAAAGTTTAACCTGGCCAGTTTGTGGGTCAAATAATTATAAATGTTAAATGTTTTGAACGTCACTAAAAGTGATGATTATAATGATAAAAGTTATAATAATAATATAGTTTATGCAGGTGGCGATAAGAATAACGAAGGTAGTAATATGTGTATATATAGACAATTCAATAAATAAATTAGGTGAAATCTTATAAGTTACGTATGTTGGTGAATTCATGATGTTCAACTCCATTTGCAAAGTCATTTACAAAATCCGATCAGACCTATCATTGGGAGTGAAAACAAGGCATCTAGGAATAGCTGAGGCACTGGTGATCCAAAAACTGAAGGTCAAGTTATGTGTTCAGAAGAAATACGTCCAACCGTTGTCCCTACCGTGGCCATCATGAAAAGTCAGTCTCTCCAATATAATGATTACGCTATTACCTTTTTTATCCAGCCTTCCTGTTTATTTCTGTTATTTTTACTTTTTTTTAATGATCATCTACATTACTAGATCTGGTTGCTGTTTTTTATTTTTATGCACGTCCGAACTTCCTACCTAGTTTGTTATCACTACCTCCTTAATCCGTAATTTGTACAAACAGTCAAGTTTTGATCTTATTATGTCTTTATTACACTTCGTGATTTTATTAATTCAACCTCGCACACCTACTATAAATACACGAATGTACCGCCCTAGTTGATAACTTCGTCGAAAAGAAAATTTTCTTCACTCTGACCGTCTTTTTAATAATTCCTGTGATCCGATGCGTATATTCCGTGATTTGAAGTTACCTAATACCACAGGTAAAATGGTCAGATAATTAGAGTTTAAATAGATATCATAAGAGTACGAGGAAATGTAAAATAAAAGAAAGGGTGGGGGGTTTCGATTAGAATTTATCTAGGTCGAGGTAGAACAAATTTCTATCGTATGGAAAGACTACGATTGTTCTCTCGAATTCCCATAGCTTCGGCTATGTATAAAAGGCGGGTTTGAATTCCGTTCGAAAGGTTCTATGGAATGCAATAGACAACTTTGAAAGTACTTCTTTTGTCCACTTCATGACCACTATCAATCAAATGAGCCAAAATAGAACTTCTTAGAGATTTTATTTGTCCTTTTTCAAACCATGAAGGAAGATGCTCAATGATACATTCGTTGAGCTGTCTAGTTGTTCACCCTATATAGCTGGCTCCATAGGAGCAGCTAGATTTGTATATACACACACAGAAGTGGTACAGCTAGGCAGCTTGTCTTTCGCTTGAGCAGTCATGATTGGCCGACTGTAAAATCACAAACAAAGGATGGCAACTGTATAAGTCCATTTTATTGCTCTCGATAATCTTAGATGTAGGACTTCAGTAGCCAAAACTCCATTGAATTGCAGGAACAGTTATTCATTTTCATCCGTTGTCGGTTTCTTTTTATTGTACTTGGTGTTCATGTGTCTCCTTAAAAATCTACTAGGATGACGCATTCGGACCAGAGTATTTTGGATATTTTCTAATTCATTTTCTAAAAGATCACCTGTACAGATCCTTTTTGCTCTATTCGGGAGTCATCTGACCAAAATGATTTTGTATCGGATTGGTACAAAACTGAGGGAATGTGTATATTGTCCTATAGATGCAGGTTTCTTATACACATCTCTCTTGTAGGAACCATCCTCTCTTCTGCTCAGTCGGACATCAAGGAACTGTAATCTACCATATGTTCTTCTTCACAAATGAAGATGAGCGATGGATGTGCATCATTAAATTGTATTAACATTTCATTTGTATTGCGTGTTATATTGAGCATATGACACTCTAGGACTCTAGGAATCAATGCTGGAGACAATAGGTGACATGGCTCAAAATCGTTGTCAATGGCCAGGCAGATGTATTCAGTCTCTGTAATCTTTCATATTCCTTTCTACCATTACC